TTTCTTTCTTATTTTTCTTTTTAAATTCTACGTTCCAAAGATGTCCACTCTGGATGCTCAAAGGGAACTGCTGAAATAACCTCGTATCATCAGCGAGTTTTGGTCCCTCTAGTTGCTCAAAATTTACTTTGAGCAATGAAGCTGTTAAAATTCACATATCTTATTATAATAACTTGATGTAACATGTTATTATTCAGTCCAGCAGCCTTACACTAAGTTGGCTTCTACAGTAGAGATATGTGACTATAGCAAAGTACCAAGTTAACATGGTTTCTCTGGTCTATCTTCTCAGAAGTTTACCACTAGGATAGTGCTGGGCAGCAGCCAGGAATTATTTAATAGTAAATCAAGTGTTGCTTAGGGAGTACCTAACTGCAATTAGTGTATATAAAATAACAAAGTGACATGCCCATCATAATCATAGCAAGCTAATGAACTGTAACAATAATTAGAGGAAGACTAGAGTTTAAGTCTATAACATCTGTTAAATAATCATTATTTAATAGCAAAGCAGGAAAAGTTCAGATCTTTATGATTAAGCAAATAATTTGTACCAAGAACTAAAGAAGAAGAAGACTAAAGTCTAAGTCTATAATATGTGTTAAAATAATCATTATTTAACTAGTAAGCAACACACAAAGCAGGAAAAGCTCAGATCTTTATTATGTACAAACAAAGTTGCATCACAATATAATCGCTCCAGAATTACTATTTATTCAAAATTTAACAGTCAAATGCTAAACACGCCAAGTAAATCAGAAGAAAGTATACCGACAAACCATGTAAAGTACGAGTATACCAAATCATCAAAGCTGCTACCTTTACTCACACATACGTATACATATAAACAATAGAACAAGTTCATTCAATTTACTATAGTACAAGTACTTGAAATTTTCAGTAACATGAAAATGAAGTAGGCAACTGAGAATTTCGAAACACCTATAATTAAGGCTAAAGGCATAAGTATCAAAAAAAAAAAAGTATCAACCATATCAACCCCACACAACAGCAAACATTCAACTCCAGGAAAAGATCCTCCAAGATCTAATTGCAAGCCATACAAACAAACAAGTGTATAGCCTTTTAACAGAGTACACATCCACCTACTGCTTTCAAATTTAAGCCTTGAACTCTATATACACAGAGACAATTAAGTGGGTAGAGAACCATGAAGTGTCACGTCCAAATCCTAGCAGCACCAATAAACACTGGGTGATTTCTTTCACTCGGCCCACCAGGGGTGGGTCAGTCTTGTAAATATATATATATATATTAAGACATCCACTAAGAAACCCAGTTATTATTTCAATATTAACTTGACATCATCATAGAACACATACAATTCAAATACTGATCCGCCAATCTGTGCTGGTATAGTAAAGGTACCTGAGCTGGACCGAGCACCACCGTCATACAAAGAAAATACACAGAGACATATATTCATACATATACAATATACTTATGCACATATATACACACCTTGTGTGTCCTAGTAGTCAATAAGGTGGATTAAGAATCATGCCTTCTCAGGTTCAAATCCCAACAGAGCTAAAAAACCACTAGATGATTTCTCATTTGTTCTAGCCTTGGTAAACAGAGTTACATGAATATGTGAATTAGCCAAGGTGCGCAAAAGGCAGCTCGGATACTGGTATCATGTGAATCTGCATACATGCACAAAAGCGGACTCGAACACCATAATTATAAAAAATATATACGCGTGTATACTCATCAGTAGTAGATTATGCAATCATTACATGAAAGAACATGTTAACCAATTTCAATGCAGCTAAAATATTAAAAACCAAAAAAAAAATTCAAAAATAATACTAATTTCACGTACCTTCAGCAATGGCATTTTGAATTTCAGCACACTTGTGAACAACGCTATGGTCATTAATCCCTTCTTCTTCTTCAATAAGCGATTCAGCATACCCATTCTTACCGTCAGTGCCGGCACCGGAAGATGACGATTTACCATCAGTCGAAACCGTAACTTTCGAAACAATCACCCATTGTACTAACGCAAATCCAATTCCGATGAGTGCACACACCGGAATCAGAATCTCCGTTCCGAGATCTGACAGAATTGTTGTTCCCATCACCGACAAATCTAGAGAGAGAAAGTGTGATTTAGAGAGAGATAAGAGTGAGATGGAGAAAAAAAACGTGAATGGGAAAAAAAAATTAAATAAGAGAAGAAGATGAAAAGATGGCAGATTTGTTCGGTGGGTCTGTGGCTCACTTTTATTTTGGCCGGTAATTTTAACTAACTATAGCCTGTTAGATTTGACGGAAACCATGAATTTTGGCTATTAATAATACATGTCTTTAAAAAAAATTATTAATTAAAAAGAATTTTGGCTATTTTTTCGTTATGGAAAAAAGGACAAATATACCTCGAACTATCGTAAATGGTATGCAAATACCCTCTGTCATATTTTTGGGACATTGGTGCCCCTGCCGTCTAAAAACCAGAGCATATATGCCCTTCACTTTAACGGAAGACTACATAGGGACACATGGCACAATCTTATCCATCGATCCCATATTTAATAAATATCGGGTCGGCAGATAAGGTTATGACATGTGTATGTATGTTAGTATAAGGGTATTAATGTCCCAAAAATATGACGGAATTTATCTGCATACCATTTATGCTAATTCGGGGTATATTTGTCCTTTTTCCCTTTCATTATTAATGTATCAAGATAATATCTCTTTCTTCATCAAATGTTCATATAATTTTATATTGTATGTAGTTTTCAAGAACGCTATTTACTACTAAGGATGAAATGAGAAAAAATAATCAATTTATCTTAAATGTTTAAAATGAAAAATAATTTGAAAAACTATTTATGTAAATTCTAACTTATAATTTAAGACATAGAAGTCATGAGCAATAGCAAAATCAAGACGTTGTCTATAAGCAAGAAGATGAAAGCTAAGTGTCTAAGTCCGATGAAATGTTAGAATTTACTTCCCTTTTAATTTATGATTTGTGATAATGGTAGAGCATTTTATTCTTTTCTAATTTAGAGATATTTTAGAATATTTATTTTTCTTATTTGAAATCTACATTAATTACATAATATTTAGTTTCCTTTTAATTTAATATCTACCTAAAAAAATAACATGTATCTCTTTTTATTTTATTTTCTATAAATAATGATATGGTCTTTTATTTTTAATATAAGAAACAATATAATGAATCATACAATAAATTTTATTCATTATTCCTTCAATTTTCTTTCTCGTTTCTTCGATTCCATAACACGAAGGTCTATATTCTTTATCTCAACTTTTTTCCTTTTTAACAGTTTGCACCTCAAAGTATAGAAAAGGACATAAAGAGTCTTAATCATTTTCATTTATCTCTTTAGCATCCTATTTAGTTTTAGCAAAGAAACAAAATATTTTTAGGAATCAACATATTCTTCATTCTTTTTAGTTTTTTTTTTTCTAATTCAACACATTCAAATATTTATTAACCGATAAGAATAAATATTATCTTCAACGTTTTAATAGAAATTGATTTCCTACGAGGGGGTTGAGCAGGGTGATTTGGGTTGGAGTCATGATCAAACGTAATACTTATTTGGTGGACTTAATTAGTTAAAAGATAAAGTTACATTCGTGCTATCAACTATAATTTTTGGTATGATAGTAAACCTACGTTTGATCCTAACAAATAGTATAGAAGTCAAGGCGCCAATATCCTGTCTATGACAAGATTCACCAAGGAATCGATGATGATATGGAGTTTGAAAATTGTTTTGGTCTTCAAGATGAAAGGCTTCTAATGGGATCTTTATATATTGGGTCATGGAAATGCAAGAACAAGCCCACTTCTTTGGCTAATGGGCCTATCCTTTTGACCCGTCATCTAGAAAATACTAGAGTAGTTTCACTTCGTAGTCTATATGCACATATTTTTGAGTCAATGGTCTACCAACAAAAGTAATGATAAGATCTATATATATCTTATTATCTTTTCGGACTTTATTTTTAAAGGTACTAAGTATGTGATTGTTTTTGTAGCCTGAATGCATAGTGTCATTAAGAAAATCACATCCTTAATAAAGTGAGGTTTTCAACACTATTATTGCAAAATTGAATGTGGAAATTGAATAAAAATCAAGAAAAGTGTTGTTGAATATTTTTTTTGTAACTATTGTTCGTTATGAAGATGGATAGTTTAAATTTCAAAAAAATCACTTTCAGTTTCAAATATATATGTCTAAAAAACGCAATGTCTTGTGCAAGATTACTATGCACATTATTTTTCAAGGAGTTTAATTTTCAAAAATTATAGTTCACAAGAAAAGAGAGATATCTGATAATTAAAGTATGAAACTTATGAAGTTTCAATCATTATAAAAGCCACATTACTAACTTACTTTATCTTTCACACATCTTCATAGTGGATCAAGGTATGTAACGAGCAAAAGTCATGATTAAAGGTTTCCCATGTGAGTGTTAACAATTACATTGTCATTTATCGAGACAAAATTAGTCCTAGAAAATATAGTTCAATAGGTAACAAAAACAAAACATACTTCAAAATTTGATCTTTTAAATATTTCAAGCTCATAAAAATCAACTTTGACTACTCTATTTTAATTGAAATGTATTTGAATTGTAATCGATTAACAAAAGGAGTTGTTTGTACGTTATTTTGCATATATATTTTTACATGCGTAATGTGTTAGTATGATACAATTGAGACTTTTTTTAAATTGTCAATACTCCATTATACGAGTATATATTAGTCGAAGTTGAACAAATTATGATTACCGATTTACCATACCGTAAAATATCGAAATCAAACTTCATATACTGAACCATACCGAATTAAATTGATATGGTCATGATATAACATTTTATAAATCGAATACCAAAATTACGAATCCAAACTTTCAATACCGTACCATATCATACTATGGCATCCTTACTTTTCATCATAAAATATCAATTGTTTTCAAGGGAAAAATACACACCTAAATACAACATAAAATTTCAGAAAACCTCAAATTCAACTTCGAAATCTATGACCAAACCGAGAGCTAAGTAATGACACGTCTCTCCTCTTTCTCCTCCCATGTCTTTTCTGTGAAATTTATATTTGTCGTACCATCGTGTCCTTGCTCTAACCCCCTACCCCCTACCCCCCAACCCAACCCCCAAAGAATCCATTTTTCCCAAATTAAGCAATTAACTACGCAAAACCCCAAAAATTAGTGGCTAAATAGCCACTGATTTTCTATGAAGTTTTAATCTTGTTGAGTTTACATGAAATTGGATTTGTGGGTGTGTGTTTAAAACTTATGGGGAAGAGAAAGAGAAGAGCTGATCTCAATAAAACTCATTCTCTTACTGGTAAAAAATGGTTCTGGCTTAAAATGCTTCTTGCCTTTTGTGCTGAATTGTTTTGTTTTCTTGATTCTTTTCTATTGTTGTAATTTACTTGGAATTATGCAATGCTATTAAGTGGCGGAATCAGTATTTTCACTTTCAAAATATGAAAAGTAAATACACAAAGAAGCTAAAGGGGTTCAGCATTTACTTTGTTGTCTTATCAATAGTTTAATTTGTTGTCGAAGGGGGTTCGAATGAAGCCCTTGACCCTACCTGGCTCCGCCCTCAAAAAAGGTGTTTAGATTGGTGGGTTGTGGGTGGGGGGGATAGGTTCTTAATTGAGAAGTTGCTAGGTTAATGGAGTAGTTATTAATGTCTAAAACTAGAGTCTCATTTATTTTTTAATGTGTTGGAAATATCGGGACTCAGGGGCGGAGCTAGGGGTTTGGTAGAAATTGCACGGTATATATAAGATCAAAATTATATTTTTATGTGTATATACAGTACATGATGAATAATCCCCTTGGTTTGTTTGGTGTTTATTTGTTTATATTTTGAATCTCCTTAGTGAAATTCGTGGCTTTGCACTGTTGGGACGTTTTCTTTAGGTTGACACTTAGATTTTTATGTTTCACATATAATTGGTTGTTGTGTGTGTATTATATATATTGGGAAAAGAAAGAGAAGAACTGATCTCAATAAGATTTTTTCTCGTACTGGTAAAAATTGGTTCTTGCTTATAAATGCTTCTTCCTTTTTGTGTTTATTTCCGCTGAAAATGCTCACTCTGTTGTCTTATTTTCTTGATTCTTTTTCTTGTTTGGAAGAATTCTTGGTGGTTGATTTGACTGTTCGATTAGCATTGTACTTGGTGTTATAATTTAATTGAAATTATGCAATGCTGCTCCAAAAAGGTGTTTAGAGGGGTAGGTGGGTAGTAAGATATTGTAGCTTCTTAATAGAAAAAATGCTTGTTTTATAGTTATCAATCACTAATAGTAGAGTCTCCTTTTTTTAATGTGCTGGGAATATTTGGATGTTTTCTAGTGGTTAAATTCCAGTGGAGGCAAAGACACTAGGTGATTTCTTCCTATTTGTCCAAGGTTAGGTGAACAGAGTTACACAATACTTGTGTTAGTGGGAGTACCAGGTTTCTCGTGGAATTATTTGAGGTGCGCACAAGCTAATCTGGACACCTTAGTTAGTAAAAAGAGGTATTGGAACGTTTTCCCTTAGTTGACAGTTTGCTTATAAGTAAAGATTGCTTTTTTTTTTCCTTCTTCGTGGCAAGCAATTCATTTATCCAACAAAAGGTTTAACGTTCTATGAATTGTTAGGCTTTTAGAGTTTGGTGAATGGAATTTTAGTAGAAAGTTCCATTTCCTGTGTTTTAGTTTTTGGATTTTAGATGATTATTTCAGATCAATAATCTGAGTTTTTTTGTCTTTTAAATTGCTTGTAGTTGGTTAGTTATGAGAAATTCACTTCACTCTTTTAGAAACAGAAATAATATGTTCACTATTGATTGGATTTCCTAACTTTTAGTATAGTGATATACGATATCTAAGCATTGTTGAACATGACCTCGTGGCCAACTTACCGTTATCTGCGTATGCCCTTCAACTGTCAAGGGATCACTTCTCCATACTCACAATTTTCTCAAGACTTCTTTTCCTTCTGCTTCGTACTACGTTGGTTCCCAACTATGGTTTGTAACATATGCCATTTACATCGCTTTCTTTTCTACTTATGCGGAGGATGGTCTGATGGAAACTTGATCTTTTGCTGTATAGTATCCCATGCCATTTTCTTGTTCTATCTACCCAAGGGATCACTGTCACACACCAAAAGTTCTGATTATTTTGCCTTATATTTAAGTGTAGCTGCGCTAAGTTTCTTCTATTTAAATAGAATTGTTTCTAGAAGAAGCTCGCCATCATTGCAATGCTTTTCGTGTGAGAAATTCTTAGAAGCATGACATACAAATTCTAGGATGGTTTTTGTTCGTTCAGTATTTGTTCGAGTTCAACGGAGTCTCCCTCCTAAGTCCTACCAATCAACACTAACGCATATATGCAAAATGAAAAAATGTTTGTGGTTGATATTCATTGTGCTTGCATAGTTAGTTTCCTTGAGAAATGACAGTCGAATACTTGAATCGTAATTCAAAGCTTTATTCATGTCGCTGCAGACCAGCTGCCTCCACCTGGGATGGATGCATTGTCGAGACAGGTTAGCTTTCTTTCCTGTCATGCAGTGGTAGTTAAATATTTCCGCTAGTTTTGCTATGTGGTTCAATCTTCAAAGTTACTCTGCTTACACATCTGCATCTGTTGCATTTTTGGGAATCATGTAAAATGGTGAAGGAAAATGTATCAGCTCGATTGATACTGTACTCTACAGATATTGATGAGCTGGGATTATTTGGCTCAGTTATTAAGGTTGTGACATTCCCACCTTAAAAATTTATAAGGGGAAGGTCTTTATGTACATAATCAGGAGATGAAAGAGTTCCAACACTAAATGATTTGGCATTACGATGTTCTTGCTTATCCTTCTTAGATCTTTTCTTGTATTAATTGAGCAGACCTCTCATCAAGTTGATGTCTATGCAACAAAGTCTTTCTCATCAATTATGGATATCATAGATGATTCTTCAAAGGTAACACAATGCCAACAACCATCTATTGTTCACCGTCGAAATATTGACCAGGCAATGTGTTCAAAGAATCCTCATCACTACTATGGGCTCCATTATACTCGACGGAGGTCTGCTAATAATGCTGAGGCATCAACTTCCCGTGGTGGGACGACTCCTCTTTATGATGAGCTGATGTCTGCAAAGCCAGCTAGTAAATGCAACTCGGGTTCTGGACATGACACAGGTGCAACTTATTTCCTTATCTTTTTCCACATACATCCTGTGCAACTCCTTAGTAGTTGCACGAGGATCCTGGTCTCTTTTGGAGGCCAAGTTATTGTTTTGCCATCAAATGTAAGATAACTCTAATAGAAATTAAACGTGGCCTTGTAAATCAAATTTCTCGTTTTTTTTGTACCAGTCTTGAGCGATTCTCTTATCTTTCTTTTGAATCTACTTGGTTGAATACATAGATGACCCCCTAAAGGGATGAACCGGGCATAGACACCCATCTAGGGCCCCAACTTATTGAACGGTTTATGTTATAAAAAATGTGTCTATTGATCGCTTATCTTACAATTCTAAACAAACCAAAGGTGCATGAATGTTACTCGCTCTTGATGTGACAAATAAAACCAATGAGCAAAAGAAAAAAAAAGTTTCATGACATGAAAAGAGAGACAAAGAGAGAGGAGTTGAAATGAAGAATTCTATAAAGCTTCGTTTTCTGGCAACACCAATTTTTTCAGGGGAGGAGGAAGAAGAAGAGGAGTTGGAAAAAATTTCTCCTGCGAAAGATCCAATCTTTCTGCAAAATAGAAACATGTACATCAAAATGTGTTCAGTAGGCACATTCTCGACAACATAAGGTGTAAAATACATAGGGGCTCTAGATTAGTTGTCTAAATGAAAAACAAAAATGTTTGAACAAGTTCAAGTGGTCGTTCTTGTATTAAGCCAATCAACTTTAGGTAACACTTAAATAGTGTTGTCAAAGGTGTGCTTAGGCCTTCAAGCGAGGCGCAAAATGTGTTGAGCGCTTCGCTTTGCTTAAAGTATGCTTTAGTGTCATCATCAATCTTCTAAGTCATACTTTTCTTTGTCAATGAGTCTCTTCCGAAGAGGCGACATTAAACAACTGAAATTTCATTTTATCGTAAAAAAAATTTCAATTTCTTTGTTCATATATTTGTCATTCATGTCTATCATTATCAGTCTTGGACTAAACATATAAATTTGTATTTTTTTCTTCCTTTGCGCCTTTTTCATTAAAGCTCATGCTTTATTTTCGCTTTGCACTTAAAGCCCCAACGGATTTCGCTTTATGTTTTTGATAACACTGCACTATTAACATCTTTGATAATATTTTCTGCTTCTCTCTTGACTTCCTTTGCATTTCTTTTCAGAGAGTAAACAGAATGAACTTTACAAACCAGAAAGTGTTGGCGTTGCGCCCAGTTTACTGGCAACGAATGCAACATCTTCCAATGTCACCAAGCTGTTTTGCGGATTATGTCAGAAGCCTTTGAGAAAGAAACGCTATCTGCTCGATAGCAACATACCTTCCTGTGAGCCCTCTGTTGTGGCAGTTTTAGTTTGTGGTCATCTTTACCATGCTGATTGTTTGGAGGAAAGAACACATCATGACAATGTAACAGATCCTCCCTGCCCGATCTGTCGTGGCATCAATTGAGTAGGTTTGCTTTTGTACCTGAATGTAGATAACCTCAGGTGCGGATTCAGGATTTGAAAGGCTCCAAGTTGTGTACACATATATACATGTCTTAAAATCTCGATACAATGTAACTATCTGTTATGTTTATATATAGTTCGAGTCAAAGGCAGTGGGTGTGCAATCGTTTGGATACCAGATGTATTGAGAGGGAAATGTAGCTTACAAGATGCATCAACAATCAGTTAGCTTTCTGTGTAAACTTTTCAGTGTTTTCTTTGAAAATATTTGTAATGCATTAGTCTAACTCTAATAGAATTTATATAAGACATTAGTCTATGACAAATTGATGCAATTTTGATGGATTATACTATCTTAAACTCAATGGTCGTTTGATATGTGAGATAAGGTGAGATATATCAAGATTAAGTTAAAGATTAAAATTATATTTTGTTTGGTTGGAGGTGTAAATATATACCTTCAATTAAATAGAGTATATATTTAATCGTAACCTTAATTTTGAATTTATACCTTCAATCAAACGGAATATAAATATAATTGCAACCATATTTTTGGATATCTTACCTTATTCCTTCTAATTTGATATTATTTTATTCCACCTTCGAGATGTAATAAATTACTTTTAGGATTATAGTTTCAGGCCAATAATCATGAAATAACTTTGTTTACGAACCAAACGATTCTAAAGGTAAAATAATGTTGAATAAAATTTGAAAATGGCAACAGACAACACCATGTGTACCTCATTTGTGACTTTCCTTTTCTACTATTTTAACTTCTTTCTAAATAAGGCACTCCTTAAAGTTTTAAATTTAAAATTTTGAAATTTCAAAAAGGTACCTTCCTTTTTTAGGACTAAATACAACTCAATAAACTTGGCAATGGCCCGTGAAAACTATATATTATAATATAAGAAAGATTTTAATTCTCATTGAAAAATTTATGCACACATCTGTCAAAGACAAGTGGAAGGACCACCACAATATATTATTTTACAAACCACTTCAAAAACAAACTTCCACCATTTTAATTTGTGTGATATAATTTAACTTGATAAAAATATATAAAATTTGTATTTAAGAATAAATCTAATATTTAGTATGTTTGGCTCGAATAGTATAAATATATATTATTAAATAAATAAAAATAATAGATTTCAAATTATGTCTAGTGAGAAATAACATATACTCCATTAAATTAGTTGAGGTATGAGTAAGCAATTTCAAACATTACAATTATTAAAACATAAAGGGGTATTATTTACATTATTTGTTTTTAACAAATTATATTTGAATCTGCTAAAAAAAAAGCGGAATACATAAATGTACATTCAAACTTAATTTCAATTAACAAGTAATCACTCTAACTTTAAGAGTGTGTATTTAGACACCTTTACTTGATCTGAATTGACAACAAAATACTCCAACTCATTTCCATTGTGTCTCGTGGATATTCAATGCTGATATAACACAAAAATGTTGAAGGTGTAGATGATATTTTGTAATTTGAAATATCCAACTAATTCGATAAAAATAAAATAAAATGTCTAGACGTGTATACTCAAAAGCCAAATTTGAACATGTTTATATGTTTTGTCGATAAATTCCTCAAGACACTGCCACCAAATATAGTACATCTAAAAATAGAACCATTCTCCACATATCTCTCCTGCTCTGTCCTTTCATCATTTCCTATTAACAGAAAGAAGAAAAAAACTAACCCCATTTCTCCATACTTTCAACTCTCTGAAAATCCATTAAAGGGTGTCCCATTTTTCCATTTTCTTGGAATTTCGTAAACCCTTTGTTTTTTTATAGCCATTTTCTCTTTTTTTAATCCCCAACTCTTTGATCTTGCCGGAAAAAAGAACCCCATTTTCCGGCAGGTCAAAGGGGTGGTGGATTCATTCTTTTCTTGGAAATTTGAAATCTTTGTTGGGTGTTTGATTTTGATATACATTTGCTAAAAAGTGGAAAAAAATTTGAACTTTATACCAAATATAGAGATTTCAAGAACTGAGGGGAAATGGTGACTGAGGTGATTCCGGTGAGGAATCCGATAAGCACGGTGTTAGAGAGAGTTGGGGTTTATGGGTTTGTAGGGAATAACAACACTACAAAGAGATGTAATATTGAATTTCAAGATGAAAATAATACAATGGAAATGGTGCAGCTTGGTGCTGAAAGGACAAAAAATGTGCTTATTTTGATGAGTGATACAGGGGGTGGACATAGGGCTTCAGCTGAGGCGATTCGCGATGCTTTTCATTTGGAATTTGGGGATGAGTATAATGTAAAGTTTCAATCTTTCTGGTTTTCTAGCTATTTGATATGAAATGCTGTGTTTGTTTGGAATTGTGAATCCCTTTGCTTTGAAATTCTATGTGGATTCGTGTTGTTCTATGTGCATTATTGTATCATTTGTCATATTGAGGTCTTGAATTTCCAATGATAAAGGCAAAGTTTTTTGTTTTGAAGTTTTGATTAGTTCTTGAAAGTTAAGGATATTATAATGTAAAGTATAATATATAAAGTTATTATATTTCTGGTTTTCTGGCTGTTTGATCTGAATTGCACTTTCTGTAACATTTCTTAGGTCTGGAATTGTGAATCCCATTAATCCCCTTGCTTTGAAATTCCATGTTGATTTGTGTTGTCCTATGTGTTGTTGAGTCATTTGTCATATTGAGGTATCGAATTTCCAATGATAAAGGCCAAATTTTTTTCTTTAGAAGTTTTGATTAGTTCTTGAAGTTTTAGGATATTACATCGTAAAGTTATTATCTTTCTGGTTTTCTAGTTATTTGATCTGAATTGCTCTTTTTGTTGCATTTTTTTAGTTTGGAATTGTGAATCCCATTAATCCCCTTGCTTAGAAATTCCATGTGGATTCATGTTGTCCTATGTGCAATGTTGAGTCATTTTTCATATTGAGGTATTGAGTTTCCGTTTTCCAATGATAAAACCAAGTTTTTTTCTTTGAAGTTTTGGTTAGTCTTGAAAGTTAAGGATATTATAATGTATAATATAAGTTTTATCCTTTTGGTTTTCTAGCTGTTTGATCTGAATTTCTCTTTTTATTGCATTTTTTGTTTGAAATTGTGAATCCCTGAATCCCCTTGCTTAGAGATTTAATGTTGATTTGTGTTGTCATCTCTACCTAAAAGTTGTGTTTTTCTTTGCGTTGATCTACATAATTTTCATGTTTATGGAGATCCCATCTGGTTAAACACTTCTCCGGCATAAATTTTTACTTGTTAAGTTAACAATTTAGTTACAACAGTTTTTCCCTCCCATGGTATGACATTCCTAATGAAGTATTTATTGGACATACTGCAAATTCATATTTCAATTTGGTAATGTCAGATGTGTTCAATTGTTGTAGGTTTTCGTAAAAGATGTTTGGAAGGAATACACTGGATGGCCATTGAACACCATGGAACAACAATACAAGTTCATGGTTAAACATGTGCAGCTTTGGAGGGTTGCATTTCATGGCACGTCCCCTCGTTGGATACACTCTGCCTATCTTGCTGCCATTGCCGCCTTTTACGCCAAGTATAGTTCCTTCTCTGTTTTCAAAAATTGTGGATGTTTGGTTTTGACTTGGCATAGGGTTTAAGAAAGTAATGAAGACTTTTGAATCTTATAGTTTCAAACGGAAGATATGTAGAATATACCAAAATGTTCTTTAATCTTGTTGTCTTAAACATGTCACGTGAAAAATTAGAACTAAAGAGGTGCCACACATCCTTTCTGAAACATACTAAAAAAGAAAGTAAGAGAAACAAATTGAAACGGAGGAAGTATTCTTTAGCGTGATAACCTATGACTTCTGTTATTTTCTAAATGATTTTCCTTTGGTACTCCTTGATACGCTAGCTAGGTTAGCACACCATAAATTCATCATTTTCAAACTGAGGTCTTTTTGATCATTTTTTTAATGGTTCATATCTTATCATTTTGTCAATATCGACTTGTCTTGTTTGTTAAGAATGATTTCTGACCTGGTTGCTTGAGTTTCATATCTAATTATTGATTTGTGAAAATGAAGGGAGGTGGAGGCTGGCCTGATGGAGTACAAGCCAGACATAATCATTAGTGTTCATCCTCTTATGCAGCACATTCCTTTGTGGGTTCTAAAATGGCAAGGTCTACAAAAGAAAGTAATATTTGTCACAGTTATTACAGACCTCAGTACTTGCCACCGTACATGGTAAATTATCGAGTAACTTAATTTGGAGTTTGAATATATCTAACACTTTCTTGCTATGTTGCTTGGACTCTTCAAATATTCCGCTAGGTGCATGTTAGATCATCCAAAAGTAGTGCATTTTTGGAGGATCCAACATGGGTGCAGTGGCATTTTTGGAGAGTCCAGACAATTTAGCTTTCATGTCTAATATGTCAGTTTAACTGGTATCCTCTTTCGAATGATAGGTTTCATCCTGGGGTCAATCGATTGTACTGCCCCGCTGAGGAGGTAGCAAAGAGGGCTTTATTTGATGGATTGGAAGAATCTCAAACACGCGTTTTTGGGTTGCCTATTCGTCCCTCTTTTTGTAGAGCAATATTTACCAAGGTGAATGTTTCATTCATTTACAACAGAATTACAGTCCTTTGAATCCATGTTTCATTTTTACTTTTTCTTATTGTTTTCTCAATACTTGCTATAGGATGACCTCAGAGTAGAGCTAGAGATGGATCCCACATTGCCGGCAGTGTTGCTGATGGGTGGGGGTGAAGGGATGGGACCAGTGAAAAAAACTGCAAAGGCTCTCGGAGAAGCTCTTTTCGATAAAGAAATGGAGAAACCTATTGGTCAAATGGTTGTCATATGTGGACGCAATGAAGAGCTAGCTTCCACATTACAATCACTCGAATGGAACATCCCAGTCAAGGTAAAGCAGAATTAGATTCTTGGAGTATGAATGCGCCTTACAAAACTACGTTCACCTCAGCTTTATTTGACAATGAAAAAATATTTTGAATGTTTTTTCCTCTTGCTATCTAGATTAAAGGATTTCAGAAACAGATGGAGAAGTGGATGGGCGCTTGCGACTGCATTATCACAAAGGTATGTTGATGCACTCCTATTTTAGCATTGCTATGCAGGGGCGGAGCTAGCACTTCAGTTATTACAGGTTCAGCTGAGCTCGGTAGTCTTGGTCCAGACTCTGTATTTGTACTAAATATCCATTGAATATGTACAAATATTAATTTAGAACCCAATAACTTGGAAGGGACTAGCACTCCGAACCCATAAGCTTCAACTTCTGGCTCCGCCTTTGTTGCCGTGTATTCTTTTTTGTGCATTGTTCACAATGCGGGACTA